ACATCAAATAAAATGTGTATTTGTTTTCATTTGTGAAACATTTTTTGTAATGCTCACCCAAGTCATGATGGTGACCACTAAACACTCTAAATGATCATAAAACCTCTGGTTTTAAATTAGTAGCCAGTAGCGGATCCAGAAATTTTCATAAGGGGGGGGGGGGGGGGGGGGGCACTGACTGCCCTAAGAGGGGGCCCGCTCCAGTCATTCTTCAGTGATTCCCTATATAACCTACAAAATTTTTCCCACAAAAAGGGGGGGGCGCCCCCCCCCCCCCCTGGATCCGCCTATGGTAGCTCCCTTGTAACAATCTGCTAAGTATAAAGGAATTATTGATACGAAACACAAGCTGTTGAATATTACAACAACTTTAGAGATATATGAAATCTATATGCAGATACTAGAATATTGTTACATGCATGTAGTTGGAGAGTTTGCAGTGGCAACGTTGAAGTAATCTCTTTTGCAATACTAGTATCATAGACTGTGGTTATGAACTGCTTCTAGCTGAATTCTATATTTGTAAATGAAGGTGTGCAGCTGACATATAACTGTATACCAATGATTCAATTCAATAGATGCGAACACAGCATTGTTACCAAACTTGTGTTTTAATGAAAGGACATCAACTTTATAGAGTACTCAGTTCATGAAGTTAAATAGTACTAGCTGTTTGTTCATTTTCCTTGAAAGTTTCCTAATGGCGTCTGCTTCATTCGCGAATAGAGGAACAAGTCAGCGGGCATTGTTGGTTTCGACAGTCTGTGAAAAAAAACACCTTGATAACCAAACACAAAGGGTAGATAAATAGAATCATCCAACAGGGGCAAACATGCGCAGTATGCCAAGATCTATAACGACTGTCTATTTTTCCCAAAATGTCAGATGACTCCTTATAAGACAATGTTTAACCATTTTTGCGAGATTTTTGCTATCATCTTGAAATTTATCATAGACATAGAAAATCTTGCAGCATAAATGATCAGCCAGACAAGTTGAAGATCTACAAACAAGCAAAACAGTGCCGCAATCGCCAAACGACTCCTTACAAGAGGCAATGATTTGTATAGTGCACTATACAAATCGTTGCAAGATCTATTGCCCTCAAATGATGATTTTTATCAGTTTTCCGTTGAAGACTATTGTCTGGAAAACATAATAGATAGAAAGAAACTATAAAACCAAAAATGATCAGCAAGACTTGATCTACAATGAAGTCAAAACGGCCGAAATCGTGAGACTACTCTTTTTATGGGTTCAACCAATTTTTGGCGTTTTGGCTTTGATGTTGAAAAACACAATAGGTAAACAGAAACTTTAAATAGAAATATAACGAGCAAGACAAAATCTCACAATTAAGCCAAAATGGTCAAATCGTTACACGAATCCTTATAGGATGAATTGCCCTTAATTGAGATATTTGCCTATTTTACTTGTTGGATCTTTTATTTAACAAGAGTGTACACTCTGAAATATCTTGCCTGGTCTACTGATTATGATTGAAATGATATTGAAAGTATTCAAAATGAATGTTAAATGCAACAAGAAATGATTGTAACAGGATGCTGTTACGAAGTCTCCCAAACGAAGCTCCCATAATTCGTAATTCCCAGGGTCGCCTGACATTGCATTGGGCAACGTCCAGTGAAAATTGGTTTGGTCCAGTAAAGTTATATGCATTAGTGATGCCTGGGGACTAACCTTGTATATCATTCAAATCATCTTGGCATGACAAACCAGAATATATATGGTTTAGGGGTGGGGATCTCGACCATTTACAAGATACTAGAACATTGGGGGTGGGAAGGAACCCCTGGGGACTGGCCCTATACGTCATTCAAATGTGCATTACATGACGAACAGGAATATATATGGTTTAGGGGTGGGGATCTCAACCATTTACAAGATATTAGAAGATTGAGGGTGGGGGGAACCCCTGGGGACTGACCGTATACATCATTCAAATGTTCATTACATGACGAACAGGAATATATATGGTTTAGGGGTGGGGATCTCAACCATTTACAAGATATTGGAACATTGAGGGTGGGGGGAACCCCTGGGGACTGACCGTATACGTCATTCAAATGTTCGAGACATGACAAATAGGAATATATATGGTTTAGGGGTGGGGATCTCAACCATTTACAAGATATTAGAACTTTCTCAAATGGCAGGGGGTCGGGATGACCCCTGGGGACTAACCCTGTATATCATTCAAACCATCTTCGCATGACAAACCAGAATATATATGGTTTAGGGGTGGGGATCTTGACCACTTACAAGATATTACAACTTTCTTAAATGACAGGGGGTGGGGGTGACCCCTGGGGACTAATCCTGTATTTCATTTGATGTGCTTTATCATGACAAACCAGAATATATATGGTTTAGGGGTGGGGATCTCGACCATTTACAAGATATTAGAACTTTCTCAAATGGCAGGGGGTCGGGATGACCCCTGGGGACTAACCCTGTATATCATTCAAACCATCTTAGCATGACAAACCAGAATATATATGGTTTAGGGGTGGGGATCTTGACCACTTACAAGATATTAGAACTTTCTCAAATGGCAGGGGGTCGGGATGACCTCTGGGGACTAACCCTGTATATCATTCAAACCATCTTAGCATGACAAATAGGAATATATATGGTTTAGGGGTGGGGATCTTGACCACTTAAAAGATATTAGAACTTTCTTAAATGGCAGGGGGTGGGGGTGACCCCTGGGGACTAACCCTGTATTACATTTGATGTGCTTTATCATGACAAACCAGAATATATATGATTTAGGGGTGGGGATCTCGACCATTTACAAGATGTTAGAACTTTCTAAAATGGCAGGGGGTCGGGATGACCCCTGGGGACTAACCCTGTATATCATTCAAACCATTTTAGCATAACAAACCAGAATATATATGGTTTAGGGGTGGGGATCTTGACCACTTACAAGATATTACAACTTTCTTAAATGACAGGGGGTGGGGGTGACCCCTGGGGACTAACCCTGTATTTCATTTGATGTGCTTTATCATGACAAACCAGAATATATATGGTTTAGGGGTGGGGATCTCGACCATTTACAAGATATTAGAACTTTCTCAAATGGCAGGGGGTCGGGATGAACCCTGGGGACTAACTCTGTATATCATTCAAACCATCTCAGCATGACAAACCAGAATATATATGGTTTAGGGGTGGGGATCTTGACCACTTACAAGATATTAGAACTTTCTCAAATGGCAGGGGGTCGGGATGACCTCTGGGGACTAACCCTGTATATCATTCAAACCATCTTAGCATGACAAATAGGAATATATATGGTTTAGGGGTGGGGATCTTGACCACTTAAAAGATATTAGAACTTTCTTAAATGGCAGGGGGTGGGGGTGACCCCTGGGGACTAACCCTGTATTACATTTGATGTGCTTTATCATGACAAACCAGAATATATATGATTTAGGGGTGGGGATCTCGACCATTTACAAGATGTTAGAACTTTCTAAAATGGCAGGGGGTCGGGATGACCCCTGGGGACTAACCCTGTATATCATTCAAACCATTTTAGCATAACAAACCAGAATATATATGGTTTAGGGGTGGGGATCTTGACCACTTACAAGATATTACAACTTTCTTAAATGACAGGGGGTGGGGGTGACCCCTGGGGACTAACCCTGTATTTCATTTGATGTGCTTTATCATGACAAACCAGAATATATATGGTTTAGGGGTGGGGATCTCGACCATTTACAAGATATTAGAACTTTCTCAAATGGCAGGGGGTCGGGATGACCCCTGGGAACTAACCCTGTATTTCATTTAATGGGCTTTATCATTTAGAACATTTTCAATTAAAAAGATTGTGTCTATCACAAACGGTTTTCAATTTATAATCATTTGAAAATTTTAAAAAATAAAATCCCATAGGGTTCTATAGTAAAACCCTCTTTTCTTTTTGCCCCTCAAAGTACCCCTTTATAAACCCCATTGCACAAACAAAACCCTGATTGCACCACTAGACATGTTAGTCTAACATATTGTGAAACCCTAAGTTAATCTGACAAGCGGTTTTGGAGAACGGGTGCGGACAAGTTCAAATTTAAAAGCGGCGGAAGAAGAAGAAGAAGAAGAAGAACAATAAGTCTTCCCAAACTTCGTTTGGGAGACTTAAATATCATAAACGATCATAAACTTATCATTATCGATGAACTATGTAAAGATGTCAAGATCATATAAACCCTACCAGACGAACATGTTCATCGTGCAATCATCCCACACATCTATTATACATTGTAGTAGATCTTTTGTTTATAGTATCTGAAAAAAACACACCTAACCACTAAATTTAGCATTGATGAAAGAACCATGAAAATGAGGTCAAGGTCAGATGAACCCCGCAAGACTGTTTGTTCACCATACAATCATTTCATACACAAGAATTAGTTGATCTAATGATTTTAGTGAATAAAAACGGACTTAACCATGAAAATTTAACATTGACCAATGAAAATTAGATCATGGCAAAGTCAGATGAACTCTGTCAAGCAGACCAGTGAATAATATACTAGACTAACAATTTATTATGTCCCAGGCCAGACATATACATCTTAATTGCAATCATTCCATACATCAAATATAGTTGACGTAGTTACAATATCTGAGAAACACGGGACTAAACCACGAAAACTGAACATTGACCAATGAACCATGAAAATGAGGTCAATATCAGATGAAACCTGCCAGACGGACACTCAGCATTCACCTACGTATTACAATAATGTCCATACACAAAATCGCTAATATTCATGATCTGAGATATGGACTTGTCCACAAAAACTTAACCTTGTTCACTGATTGAGGTCAAGGTCAGGTGAACACTGTCTGGCAGACATGTAGACAGTACAAGCACAGGCTCTTATCTCTGAAATAAAATTACGGACACTATAGCAGGTTAATAGAATGCACCCATCGTATCGGCTGTAAAAGAAGGGACACAACTCTTTACTTTCACTTTAATTTTTTTTAAAGATGTCAGCCTCCATGCGGTTGCCTTTGGTTGTAATTCTTGGAGCAACAGGGTCCGGAAAATCTAAATTGGCGTTAGAAATTGGACGTTTATTTAATGCTGAAATAATAAGTGCCGATTCAATGCAGGTTTGTGAGCAGACATCTCCAAACTTCCAATAATTTCAACCTAATACAAATTTTTACATGATTCTTGAAATGAAGGGGATTTCTGTTTGTTATTAAGGACAAAGTCCTCATAACAATAGAAAAATCAACAAGAAGAAAAAAACAATATACTAGTGGAAGATCCTGATCCACTTTCTACCAACTCGCCCCATTCATACCTGCCAACCTTTCAAAATCTCTATGGGGGAGTTTGAATCCGAGTCCGTTCGCCCCAAAAAAAGTTCCCGCCCATTCACGTTCGCCCTTTTTCACTTTTGCACCCTACACATTCGCACCCAAAGTCCGTTCGCACCCTACACGTTCGCACCCTTTTTATTGGTTTTGTGTTTAATAATTTTGTACTCGAGTTTTGGTAAGTGTATTGCTGTAAATATTTTTTTTTTTCATTGTTTCAAAACAAAGTGAGATTCTGATAACGTTTGTTTATTGTGTTAAATAAATCTTAATCATCTTTTGGTTAGTGTATTGCTATAAATTTATGTTTTCATTGTTTCAACATGTTCAAAATAAAGTGAGACTCTCGCGTTTTTCTTTTTTGTGCTGAATAAATCTTAAATTATGTTTTGGTTAGTGTTGTGAGATAAATTTTTTTTTTCATTGTTTCAAAATAAAGTGAGATCAAAAGGGCCAAGCTGTTAAAATCAATTATCTTTTGTGTTTTCTTTTAAAATCTATGTTTTACTCATACCTAGCTAAATACATGCAGTATTTACATCAAAGCAAGTTAAAACAACAATCATGATTTTCAAACACACAACAATAATACCAAATATATATTTTTCTTTTGGTATATACATATAAAAAATATCTAATAATTCAACTTGAATTTGAATAAAAATTGGGTGCGAACGTGTAGGGTACGAACGGACCTAGGGGGCGAATGTGTGAGGTGCGAACGTGTAGGGTGCGAAAGTATATTGGGCGCGAACGGACCTGATACCAGGGAATTTCAGCGAAAGAGTAACTTATGCTCCTCTGTAATTGTCTTGTGTGTTTTTAATCTCCATCTATATTGTTTAAATGCATATGTATGTGCTTAAATACCCTTTTAACTCATTTTAATGCCTGTTTTGAGGTGTTCAAGTTATAAAATAAAGAATTTCAAAATTCAGGTTGAGACCTCTCATGGGAGATATCCCGCATAAATCGGAATAGTTGGCAGGGGTCTCACTAATTAGCGCCAAGAAGCGTCAAGAAGCGACAAGAAGAAACAAATTAGCGATAAGAAGAATAATTTAGCCACAAGAAGTATAATTTAGTGACAAGAAAACAAATTAAGCGTAAAAAATCTAACCATTGATTATTCTAAATAAATAAATATTGAAACATACATTAAATTGTCTTTTTTTAAATATATGAGAAAGATCGAGAAACAAGAGAATAAACTTTGGTTTTTTTTCATTATCAAGGATATGTTTAAGATAATATACCTTCAGTTTATAGCATAGTGTATAGATGAAATTCAGAATGAATCAATATGTATGTAGAGTCGGCATGGTTAATATATCAAAGATTCAAAACCAAATTATGAGATAATCTTGATTTATTTCAGACTCAAAAGGTCAATATATATAAATACATGACACACATTTTTCTGTCTTAATAGGATAAAATGTTCAAATATTTACATTATTAATAAAAAACAAAAGGTATACACGAATGTTTGGATAAAAAGGGGGGTCATTTTTTACTTTTTGTCTTGCCTTGACGGTGTCAAAAAGCGAGACATAGGTATGCTGTTTCCGGCGGCGGCGTCAACAATGTATTAGTTTGTGATTAGGTCTAGTTTAAGGTGAACCACTAGTGGTTGGTCAATGATATTTGGTATGCAGTTGTATTAGTGTAAATGCTCTTTTGTTCCGACATTGGAAAGTTCTGGGCGGAAAGAACTAACTAGCTGAAAAGTTCCGGAGGAACTTATTAACTAGTTACTTTGTTCTTCCTCTGGTTTAAAAGTTCCACCGGAACAAAGTGACTAGTTGAAAAGTTCCAACGGAACATATGAACCAGTTAGAAAGTTCCTTTTTGCCAAATTAGTCAAAACCGGAACTAACAAACTAGCACAAAAGTTCCAACGGAACTTATCAACCAGGCAGAAAGTTCCATTTGGAGAATTGATGCAAAGTAAAAGCGCAACATATTATATTTGAACCTTTCAAAGGGAAACCAAGATACTGATTACAAAAGTCAAAAGGAACTTATCAACTAGCCACAAAGTTCCTCTTTGGCAAATAAGTCAAAACCGGAACTAACAAACTAGCCCAAAAGTTCCAACGGAACTTATCAACCAGTCACAAAGTTCCATTTGGAGAATTGATGCAAAGTAAAAGCGCAACATATTATCTTTGAACCTTTTCAAAGGGGAACAAAGACACTAGCCACAAAAGTCAAACGGAACTTATCAACTAGTCACAAAGTTCCTCTTTGTTAGGGTTAGGGTTAGGGTTAGGCTAGGGTTAGGGTTAGGGTTAACTATTCAACTAGCTACATTATTTCTGGACTTTTCAACTAGCTACTTTTTCCGGGACTTTTCGACTGCACTCGGAATAAAACAACTAGTTGGAAAGTTCCATCGGAACGAAATAACTAGTTGAAAAGTTCCGCCGGAACATAGTGGCTGTTACATTAGCACTGGCACATCTCATTTCCATGGAGATTATTTGGCCCTGCCTCCTCAGTCATGGTCTATTGACTTTGAAACTTTTGCTTAGTTTACATGTATTAGTTTGTGATTAGGTCAGTTTATGGGGAACCACTAGTGGTAAGTCAAAGATATTTGGTATGCAGTTGTATAAGCATTGGCATATCTCATTTCCATGGAGAATATTTGGTCCCGCCCCCACAGTCATGGTCTATTGACTTTGAAATTTTTGCTTAGTTTGCATGTATTAGTTTGTGATTAGGTCAGTTCAAGGGGAACCATTAGTGGTAGGCCAATGTTAATTGGTATGCAATTGTATAAGCATTGGCACATCTCATTTCCATGGAGAATATTTGGTCCTGCCCCCTCAGTCATGGTCTATTGAATGACTTTGAAACTTTTACATGTATAGTTTACATGTATTAGTTTGTGATTAGATCAGTTTAAGATGAACCGCTAATGCTAAGTCAATGATATTTAGTATGCAAATTTATTGGCATTTGCAAGTCTTGTTTCCATGGAGATTATATAGCCCCACCCCCTCATCATGGTTCATTGACTTTGAAACTTTTACATAGTTTACAAGTCAATGTTTGTGTTTAGGTTTTTGAAAGGGAACGACTTAGGATAAGTCTATGGTATTTGGTAGTCAGTTAGTTGTATTAGCATTGGCACATCTCATTTCCATGGGGATTGTTTTGCCATGTACCTTCAGTTATAGTTCATTTACTTTGAATATTTGCATAACTTACATGTTAAAGTATTGCTATTTTAATTTCAACATTTGCATTATCAAAAGTACAAAAAGGCGAGACATATCTCTGTGTTAACAGTTTAATTTTTAATTTTTAACTGCCATTTTTCTCTATTTTCTAAGGATCCTTAGTATAATCAGATGATTTATTTTCTATAAATCTATTGTTTTAATAGTAAATAAACTTTCTTGTCACTAATTTTTTCTTCTTGTCGCTAATATTTTTCTTCTTGATTCTTCTTGTTGCTTCTTGTCGCTAATAAGTGAGACTGGTTGGCAGGTCTGCCCACTCTTGTTTACCAACTCGCCCCACATATTAAAAAATAGTAAACAGGTAAAACCCCAATAAATTTAGTCCTGCCATTTCGCCCCAATTATGAAAAAGAGTAAAGTTCTGATGAATTTAGTCATGCCAACTTGCCCACTTTATATGAGAAGTAGTTTAATCTACACAATCTCTGCAACTATACTGCTAAAATAGCAGTAGAAAAAATCCACTTGAATACTAATGAAAATAGAAAATTTAATGTATGGTTCCGATTGAAATTATTGATGCTTCATTTCTTAAAATAAAATTGTAGTTACATTAATTATCATTATGTAATTGTATTTATTTGAGAATAACTTTATTTTTGCAAGCTTACTTATATTTGCATGATAATGGCAAAGAAACCAGTTAATTGTATCATAATGCAATATATCATCTCAATAATTTAAGGATTCTAATTTAACAGTAATTTGTCTTTATAGCAAGTAACGGATTGGTAACTTAAAATTGTCTTTGAATTGAGAATACACAAACGCTAACAAATGAGTCCTTTATTCAATGGGATTAAACACCTTTTTACAAGTGGGGCCAGTTGGTAGTCCTTAATGCAGTGAGATTCATAAGTGGGGCCAGTTGGCAGACCTTTATTCATCGGGATTAAACTCCTCATCATAAGTGGGGCGAGTTGGTAGTCCTTAATGAAGTGAGATTCAAAAGTGGGGCAAGTTGGCAGTCCTTAATGCAGTGAGATTCATAAACAGGGTAAGTTGGTAGTCCTTAAGGCAGTACGATTAAATTCTTATTTATATAAGAGGGGTGGGATGGCAGACCTTTTTTCATCAGGATTTTACTCTTTTTCATAAATTGGGCTAGTTGGCAGGACTAAATTCAACAGGATTTTACCCTTTCATAATTGGGGCGTGTTGGTGAAAAATTGGGGCGATTTGACAATGGGGCAGGTTGTCATGGATTTATACTAGTGAATCCATAATCTTTCATATCAGTTATCTGTCTTTCCCATCTGCTCTGAAACCCATTCAGGGTTTTGATCTTGTTCTGGATTTCTTTTTATAAAATCATAAAGCATACATTTTCCAGTAATTTTGTAACTGATTACACCGAAAAGGATTAAATGATTTGTTGGAATTCAGTTATATAACTGCAAAAAAGTATGACAAAAAGTAAACCGAAAATGCAAAATCCACTTGTTAAGGTTCATGTGTGTTATGAAATAGAAGTTCCTTCATAATATAAGTTCCAAGTGGAAGAAATATTCTGTAATGTTATTCCAACTGGAACAAATATTACAGTATTTGTTCCTAATGGAATAAAGGGTATAGAATATTTGTTCCAACAAGAACAGATATTATGGCATTGTTTATAACAAAGGTTCCGGGGGAACTTCTGTTAGATGGAACAATTATATACGTTGACATGTGGATCCTTAGGCTAAAATGGCTGTGTTTACACCACAAAATTTACTCTTGAGTGCAGAAAACCTGTGCATCTGGAAACATTTTAAGGCATAGCATGCCCTAGATAAAATTCAAATGCATTTTACATTCCAGAAAATTAAATGCTTCACTTGACTTTTCTGTCCACTTTTTCTTAGTCCTTCAGAAGATGATGACAGTCTCTGGACACATTAATCTGACTCTGAGCTGACCCTTCTTTGAACTGACTCCTCAATGCCAAATAAGAAGCTGCAAATAAAAATTTTTAAATCTTTGCTGTTACTCTGCTGGGATCAAACCCGCAACCTCCCATACTCAAGGCAGGCACAAGTCAAACCATGTGATGCCCTTACTGATGCACTATTTTGGCTTTTGCCATCGTAATCACTTAAGAATGTCAATATTTAATACAACACACCATAATTACTTTAATTGCTGGATGTGTTACCGAAGAAATTATTATATTGCTAATTGACAGTTTAAGATAAACTACATGCCTCATGTGCCAATATAACCGCCTCGGTGGTCTCGTGTTAGCGTGTTCGCCTCGAGAACGGGAGGTTGTGGGTTCGAACCCAGGCCTGGTCAAATCAAAGACTTCAAAACTGGTATTTGCTGCTTCTCCACCAAGCACGCAGTATTAAGGAGTAAGAGCAAAGACTGGTTGGCTCGGAGTCAGAATAATGGGTCCGGGTAAGGTGACATGTCTTCCTGCGGACTGTTACCTTGTGAGCTAGCATGTTAAAAATCCAGCTGAGGCGTCGGTCTAGTACAAAGCATGGTAAATTTTCTTATTAATTAACATGTTCTCGTCCTGAATATGCATATTAATTTCCCACTGGATGTTAAGCAGCCATCCATCATCATCATCATCATGTGCCAATACTTTTATTTTTTCAATAGGTTGAATGAACAAAATTTTTGTCACCCTTTTCTCTAGTACATATTCCCTTATGTATTTGTAAGAGATCGATCAGAAACCCACTCCCTGTTTTCATATACTTTGAATTACAAGTGGTGTTAATCCCCCATACTTTGTATGATAATGCATACACACTTCATTGTACTTGTTTAATTCGGCGTCTTCTCACTTTTTTATGCCCCCGCCTCCATGGAAGGGGCATTAAGTGTTACCCTTGTCCGTCTGTATGTCTCAAAAAAGTTTCTGTTCTCTAATTTTAGTTTGCCTGAACCAAATGTTATGATACTTGTACACAATGATTATTACCTCAAAACACAGATCAGGTTCGATTTGAGGTGGCGTCACTTTCACAGTTCTCTAGTTATGTCCCTTTATAAATGGAAAAATTGCTGAATATTTAGTTTCTGTACTCTAACTTTAGTTTGCCTCAACCAAATGTTATGAAACTTGTACAAAATGCTTATTACCATAAAACACAGATCAGGTTCATCAAATTGATTGATTGTTGATGTTTAATGCCACATTTTGCTACAGAGGCCCTGGATTGATTGAAGAAATCAATACTTATCATGCTTATTATGAACTATCAGTACGAATTTCAAAAGCTTAACAGATATTAAATCAAATGGATCTAAGTAAAACAGTAAAACCCTCTTAGGACACCAAGACATCAGGGAATATGGTAGCAAAAATAATATAGTTATTTTATTTTCTTTCAGATTTATAAAGGTCTTGACATCATTACAAACAAAGTAACAAATGAAGAATTGAAACAATGTCCTCATCACATGATAGATTACCTGGATCCTCTGAAAGAAAATCATACTGTCGTGGATTTTAGAGACACGGCTGTACCTATTGTATCCTTGACTGTTTTGTGGACTATTTTCTCTTCAGTCATTTATACTATAATGTTTTGTTGTGCATATTAATTTCTACTTTGATTTTCAACTTGATGCATCTTGTAAAATAAATCTTTCAAGGATATTGTTACTCATGAACCTTTGGTGCAAGTGTGCAATTACCACCATAACTTATCTTCACTAATAAAAACAGAACAACAAAAAATTGGAAGGCTTCATTCTTGCATGTCTGTATATTTCATTTCCAATGTTAATTCAGATATGTTATTAGATCAATCAAGGAACATAAGGGAACAAATGACAACAATTATAATTCCAAACATGCATATTAATTTATTACAACATATAATAAGGCTTGTATAGTGTACTACAAAACAACATGACTGATTTTATGAAAAAAGGGTTTCAGTTATATCTTTTATTTCAAGTTCAATGTGATAGGGTTGGCCAACATAGCCACCAAACTTTGAAATATACAGTGGCTGTATTTTTCAATTGCCTGATAGATGAAAAAAATAAGGAGCTGATATTACTCAGTAGTGCAGATATCATTGATGTGTAGAGCTTTGTAAAAGTGGAGGTAGAATCATTTGTTGCTTCTATAATTAAAAATCTTTCAAAATTGTTATGTAGAATTTCAATCAGAATTATGTTAATTTTATAATCAAATAATATTGTAATCAAGACACTTGCGTTTTATTTCATGCATTATTTGAATAAAATTTAGTATATATATAATGCAACAACATTAGCCATGACATTTGAATCACATTTATCATGTTTATAACTTTAAAAAAGACAATTTGTTGCAAAACATAAAGCTGATATCAATTCGAAGAGAAGATGGGCTAGTTGGGAACTTTTTCTTTAAATGGACTGTTTTATGGTTGAGAGAAAATTTAAGATGTTGTTATTGTTATGTGACATGATTAAATGATATTATTTGAATGGTCATTAATGAAAGATTTACAACATTTTGTGATTTTTTTTTCATTTTAGAGATCAAAAGTGTCTTTAGATTTTCTTAATTTTTTTATGAAGAGGAACTCTTTATTTATTATACATGTATTTTGAATTTAAATTTTGATTGTTTCTAATAGATATTTTCTTTAACATATATACAGATAGATAAAATATTTAAATCAAACAAGATTCCAATTATTGTAGGTGGCACAAACTATTACATTGAAGCTTTAATGTGGAAATTTCTTATTGATAAACAGGTATAGTAATGCTAACATCTTTTAGTTTATTTTTTTAACATTCCTGAAATTTCTTTATTGGACACCTTGCTGTTTCTTCTCCTAAGCCATATATATTCTTACAATTCTTTCTTCTCCTGAGCCATATATATTTTTACAACTCTTTCTTCTAAGCCATATATATATCCTTACAACTCATGTCAAACTGCCTCCATCTTCTTTAATCATCACCTCCTCATCCAAATTAGTATTCCTTCATTATCTAAAACTGTCTAAAAAGTTTTCTACTTGTTAACCATATGCACATATATTCTTATTCCACATGACAAGATATAGTATCAAATATACTGCAACTCCCTGGTGAGTCAGCTCATCATTCAAATGAGTAATCCTTAACTCTTCTAAAACAATTTTGAGATCCCCACCTCTAAACAATAAAAATAGTTGTGACCAGATGAATTTACTCTTCAGCATCCCTTTGAAATCTGTTATTCTTATTCTAAATCAAGCAAGCAGCAATAAGTTAATCTCAATTATCTCAAAATTGTTGAGATACAAACCCTTAACCATATATATTATAATTATTCATTAACATGAATTTGGTGGCTATACATCTCCCTCTCAGTAAATTTGAGAAAAAAAAAACAATTGGAGTAGCCTCCATGACCATGTACTTTTGTGCTTACCTTCATGTCCTTAAATGTCTGTGCCAACTGCAATATCTCAGTAACTAGAAACCAATAATCATGTAACATTTTATCTCACCTCGGATAAATAGTGACGTTGTGATTGGTGAAATGCCATCACGTGGTGACCCTATGGATCTGTATGGGGTAAGTAGATTTCATATGGGGTCATGACGTCACGTCCTCTATTAATGGTGACGTCATCTTTTGATGTTATTGTATTTCATTGTTTATTTTTATACAAAACTTGGCAGGAAAAGATCTGTGTGCGATAAATTTGTTTTCCTGTTCACTACTGACCCTCTACGGATATGTAGGGGGTCAGCAGCAAACCATATAACTTATAGTATGTAAGTACATCAAGGGGAGAACAATTTTGTATTGCCAGAAGTAGGTCATACTGCGCATATTTCATTGTTCAATGACTTTGGTTATTGTTTATGTCAAAGCTGATACGATTCATGTTTTATATCCGAGTTCAAATGTCTGTTATTTTAAGTTATATGATCATTATTACTTGTGTAAATCTGATTTCTGGGAATATGTTTACAGCATCCAGGCAAAAGTATGTAACTGTAACCTACATTCATACTATATAAACTTTGGTTAAGTTTTATATCTAAGTTAATATCTCATCATATACAAGTAATAGTATCCTTTAAACTTGAATAATTACGTTACATGTATATTTCATTTGAATCTGTAATTATGATTTGCTGACAACAATCGTGAGGCACTCCAAAATCCAATTGTATCTCCGTATAAAATACAACAGCTTTGACTGCACGCGCTATTCTTGACAATGTTAAAACAATGCATAGAAAAACAAATGAAAAACTTAATGTAACTTTTGATTTCATGGTTGTAGCATAAAAATGTACAAACTGTTATTATAAGAATTGAATGCTTCTTTTTATAATTTTATTAGGGAGGTAAAAGTGAAGCGCACATTTTTGATATGAATCACTTTCTCATGTTTTGAAATAGCCCATTTGATTAAATGTTATGACAGTTAATACATATTTCCATGAACAACTCACATCTTACATCTAGTTTGTAAATAAGTGCAAAGATATCTATTTTTAGCCCTAAATATTTTTTACTTACAGTTTGATGAAACCTTTCGTTAACATTCTTTTTAAAGAAGGGAAATAACTGATTCAGATTACAAACTCACATGTACACACACAAGAGCACATTTATCAAAACTTGAAAAAAATCAAAAGAAACAACCAAGGCCAAATTTTAGTACCTAAATCAAATATAAAATAAGTGAATTAGGAAGACCTCAAATACTGGACTTCTAACATTGAGCATACTCAAAAAGTGTATTGTGGACTTTAAATATATTTTATACCCTTGAATTCAAATATTGAAGAGTTTGCTGTGAATAAATCATGAAGAATTTTGTACTGTAATGTAAACTTCCTATTATTACAAATTGTATATGATTCCTTGTATCCTAGAATGAGTTGAACAGGCTTGTTAGGGCTCAGGAGTGGAAGTTTGTGAGTCATTAATGATGATGTTATGCAAGATATCTGGTCTTAGAAGCCAGGGTTTTGGTATTCCAGATATGATTTTATCATATGCTTTGAATATCATGAAGAATTTGAATTAATGCCAGTTTAAAAGAAAACACATTTTGTGTGGCAATTTAAGTTTTTTAGGATTTATTTGAAGACCAGAAAGATTTTTTTTAGAATGAATAAACTACTTGTAAAGACAAGACAACAAAAATGAATGAAATAGGTCAGGAAATAACAAAGAGAGATAAAGAAATCATCAGTCTAGACATAATCAAATGGAATCAGATAATGTTATAGTAACTTCTGGTTAATTCCCAAACTACTAATTATTGCAGGAATTAACCCAAGTCCTGACAAGTCTTCCTTCTGTGTACTAATTACAGATTGAATTAGTTCCAACTTTGACCTGAAAACCTCCTGTGTTACAGGTGTCTGGACATGGTAAAAGGTTTGACCTGTAGTTGCTTAAATCAACCTCATGTGGTCTATAGTTGTCTCATTGGCAATCAAAACATGTTTACCTGTACATATTTTTAATATTGGTTATTTGTTAGTGTATTTTTTATGTGTCAGAGATGATACCCTCCTTGTCAAATGTTCAAGGTGTGACCCTTTTAGTTAATATCTTTGAATGCCTGTAGCATAGATGTATAGGGGTTTATACATTTATGCCTGTTGCAAAACCCATATAACATAGAAAGCTATAAAAGGCCCCACAAATTCCTTTCTTTAAACCTGTAGATCTGTCCACCCTTAAAGATAAGGTTTCATATTTAAAAATGTATAATGGTATATCAAATGTTTCACTAATGCATTAAGTACTCTTACATAGTATAACACTTAACTAAATATGTATCAGTATTAACTACATTTGTTTTTGTACTTTATGCCTTGTTTTCCATAGTAGGGTGCATTATGTTTTCTGGTCTGTGTGTCTGTAGGTTGTCTGTTTGGATTCAAGTTAATTTGTTGAAAGGTAATTTAAACATGAAGTTGTGGTCACATCTTCGTTTAAACTTTGTTTATTATGATGAGAATTTTTTTAATATTAGAGTTTGGACCCAGATTTTCTGAACACTCAACATGGAAGTGTGATAGTGTGAGCAGGGCATAGTGTCCTATGAACACATATTTTTTTATGCTTGAATCACTTGCAAAAGTTTTGATTTTGAGGTTCATTTCTGAAAATCAGTCGATATGCAGAATGATCAGTATTGCATGCATTTAACTTATTTAACAAAATAAATATTCTTAATGATTAGGTCATTGCTACCTACATCTACATTTCACATAACTAACGTTAAAAGTACATTTCTAAGAAACCTACAAATAGAGATATATAAGACAAAGGTTTTTATGACATGTAGGTCACCATGACCTACATGTTTTGTTTGAAGGGCTGTTGAAGTTTTGCATTCACCGTTTATAATGTGGTCTGTATGGTCTATTTATTTATATTGATAAATCTGAACAACTCTGGTTTAGTTGTTTATTTAGGTCAAAGGGTAGTTTGAGATAGGGAATATTATTACAAATGTATGAAAAGTTTTTTTATGCCCCCGCCGTAGCGAAGGGGGCATTAAGTTTTACCCTTGTCCATCTGTACGTCCGTACGTACGTCCCAAAGTTGGTTTCCGTTCTCTAACTTTAGTTTTCCTCAACCAAATGTTATGAAACTTATACACAATGCTTATTACCACAAAGCACAGATCAAGTTTGAATTTTGGTGGCGTCAATTTAACCGTTCTAGAGTTATGCCCCTTTACAAATGGAAAAATTGCTGAATTTTTCGTTTCCGTTCTCTAACTTTAGTTTGCCTCATCCAAATGCTACGAAACTTATACACAATGCTTATTACCATAAAACACAGATCAAGTTAGAATTTTGGTGGTGTCACTTATATTGTTCTAGAGTTATGCCCCTTTACAAATGGAAAAATTGCTGAATTTATCGTTTCCGTTCTCTAGCTTAAGTTTGCAACAACCAAATTTTATAAAACTTATACACAATACTTATTACCACAAAACTCAGATCAAGTACAAATTTGGGTAGTGTCACTTTTACTGTTCTTCAGTTATGTCCCTTTATAACTTTATATAATATGCTAGCGGGGGCATCGTCTGTGTCCCATGGACACATTCCCCATTTATATATTACATCATATTTAAAAAAAAAATTTTTTTAATAAATACCTATCTTGAAAAAAAAACATTTTAGATTACTGGTAGTACAAATATAGAAATTCCTCAATAAAAAAGTGATTGAATTGTGGAGAGAGTTGGTAAAAGTTTTTTCCTCTTCTTGGTCAAACATCCTTCCTTATTGATTTGAATTTGATTCCTTAACGAATACTACTTCATATACTTTCTATACTTCCTAAATCAGAACATAGTAGTACCATATATCAATTGAGTACTTATCAGATTTCGATACTTTAAAACATAATAACTTCCTAATTTCAGGTCTTGAAGTCCAACTTGTCTGTGACATTGTACTGATAATGGTCTGACCCTCTTGACATGTCCTAATGGTCATGACCTGCTTTGACCAAGACATGATGTGTTTATCCTTGCTTGACCAGTACCACTACTTTGCCATGTGAGTGATGATATAGATAAGCCTTTATTCACATGTTTCAGTTATTATACAGTCCCTAACAATCATAATGTGTAGGTTATTTATATTGTTAGAAGTTCTCATCAGAAATTGATGGTTTTAGTCTTATTAATTGTTCTTTTTGTCCTTGCATCCCACTTTTAGGTCTGCTACTGCTCCTGAACTGCTCAACAATTTTTTATGAAACTCT